CTTGATTCTACCATCAATTAACGTTGCGCGTTTTCACGTTCCGCGACACGACGCGAGAATCTTGTTTTTCCATTAATAAATAATTACTATCCGGTGTTCATCGAACAGTGTTAAAGCGCACAGAAGCGAAACTGATTTCCAGCCGGGATAAGCTTAACTGAGTAGTTAATTTGCCACGAAACGGTGATGGTTATTAACAAAGAGAAAAAGTCGAATGCGAACGGGCTGAATTGGGTCGCGGGTCTCGGACGAGATGGGCGAATTCCTCGGTTCGTTTCTCGTCCGGTTACCATGAAAACCGGTCGATACTTATTACCATTGTCGATCGTAAATTAATAGCGTAAATTAATTCCGTCAATGAAACGCCGATTATATCTATCCGCCAACGATTACTTCTCACGTGGACCGATACGAAAATGATCTCATCCTCTTCTATATTTATGGATTTGCTACTTCATAGCTACACGTCGTTAAACTCCTGCACTAGTATACATATAGATACAAATTATTCTAATCCATTGACCTACGGCACGCGGGAGATAAAAAGTATCGATGATTTACATCGATGATTGGACAAGCACTTAGCGTCTTACGCAGTTCATCATACGGTGTTCAGTATATTAATTTCCAGTTATGTTAATGGTTTAGAATACGTTTCCATTACCGTATGAATATTCATGTGTATATCAGATTTTTAAATTCGGTTTTAATAATAATTGACAATCGCATGTATGGAAATGAAAAATGCATTAGAATACGAGAACTGATAGAAGGAGGCATTCGGAACGCACGCCGGAACCGGAATGCGGTCTCAGGGTCGCAATTTTCTGTTCCTTTTTTCTTCGAAACCCTCGGAAGTTTCAGCGGCTACACGTTTTACGAGCTCGTTTAGGTAGTTTACGACCGTTTTACGGCGTGCGAATGACCACGATCGGCACGAGCTACGAATCCCATAACACACTGTCAAACCCTGCCACCGTTTTCACGGTCGATCTTCTGGTAATCCAGCTGACGACGATATCGGGTCATCCGCTTCAAAGCAGATTTCTGCAGCCGGCTTGTCTTCTCTACAACGAAATAAATGATACATAGACAAGTAGAAAAAAAAGAAGAAAGAATTTCTCTCATAAAAATTTTTTTAATATTTTCTAATCAAATTTGAATATTTTTCAACGATACGGTGTCGTCGATGAAGTGTTAATTTATTCAGACGAATCGATAACAACGCGTTTCATTCAAGCGTTGAACGATCGATCCTTTGGCTGTGAAAAGTGAAACTTAAGGGATGTTTCCATTCGGACTGTCGATTGTTTGGAATGAGATGAAACGAATCGTCGTCTTGGAATGTGATAATATTTGAAAACGACGAACTGCGGTGGACAAAGAAATTGACCGAATAGAGGCCATTTTGCTAACTAGAGGCCATCATAGCTGGCCTGACGTCACTTTCATATCCAGTTATGGCTTCACGTGACGCTCCACCCTGTTTTCAATCACCTTGGCCCCGAACCCACCCAGCTGTCAGGCACGCTCCACCCCGTTTTTTCCAGTTCTTCAGGTTCTTCTGGCTATCGACCTTCGCCATCTGCCGGGAATAACACGAACGCCTGAGACCTTGAAATGGCTAGTTGGCTTATGCCTTTTCCGGTCGATGTCACCACCGAATAAAGCCCGCTGACCTTTAAACTGTTAGGGGTGTCCAAAATCTCTTGGAAGAAGAGGTCCTAGAGGAGATCCGCAAAGTGGCTCCGGACGAAACAGACGTTATCACGCTTTCTGCCAGTCGTTTTCACGTGCATGAAGCGTCTTTCCGCGATGAGTTCCCGCTGCATAATTAAACGCTTGTGCTCTTTCCGAGGAAAAACGTTTGCCGAGGAAAAACAATAGCAACGCTAGCGTTTCCGATAATACGGAGGCGTGACGCTTTCTTTTTCAATGCAATTCATTACACGGATCGCGAAGCAGCGTTCGTACCGAATACTTATGAAACTCTAAAAGTCGAATAAAAATCTCTAAAGGAGTACTTAACTCCGTCCGTAGAAACAAGCGTAACGGAACCGGCTGTAGGGCTCTATCTCGGTCAGGCAGGAAATGGGTGAACCCTAAGACAAAGAGCGATACGATGGCGATGGGGAGGGTTGCAGTTTTGGTAAGACGAGAAATACGCAAAGATTCGCGCCTCGAAGAGAGCGGGAATTGAGTTAAAATCCTGCGAGAGGTAGAAATTTATACGCAATCGAGGCGGAGTTGTGTGTGGAACGGTGTCGGGAAGCGAGGTGGGACAGAGAAGAGGAGAGCGAGAGTACGGAGCGCATGGAATCGCTATCGGCGGCCATTCATCAATCCGGGGAATCAATACGCTGGAATTAATGAAAGCGCCGCGCGAACAGCGAGCTAGCGGCCGGAATGTTAATCGCGATCGTCCCGCATCCGACCCGTTCCCGTTCCCGTGTACAGCGAACTCCCAAGGGCCCCACCCCCGCGACCGAACCCTTCAACCTGCTGCCACCCTTCCGACCACCCCCCCCCCTTCGATCCCTTGTACATCCGCCACCCGCCTCTCCGTCCGTGCTCTCCACCATTACAAACACGACCACCGTGCTGCCCACAATGCCCGTCGTACATTCTATTCACTCGTCTGGAATCGCGGCTCGTTCCTTTTTTACCCTCCTTCCTCTTTCTTTTTTCTTTCACCGATAGCGGTACTCACCGTGCTTCTCTCGTTTCTCTTCTCAAACGATTTAAGGATGTATAGGCTACACGTATACTTAAACAATGCTGGCATGTTGAATTTGTTATTATAGATTCCTATTACTATTAAAAAGCTAAAATTATAGTGATTTCAAATTTTTCATAGGT